TGACTTCTACATTACGATCTTATGACAGAAGTCTGATCCCTTATCCTTACCCGATAAGGTGTGGTAAACCGTAAGTACGGTGTACCAAGACTGTACCACTCAGGTCTACTGATCTTTACCTGATGTGGATACATCACATGACAGGTTCAATAACCGTGCGTAACCCCGTTGCACAAGTAGCATGCACCATGGTATATAATACCTACACCACCCACCAGCCGAAGTGGATGACAAAGCGAAGCAGAATGCTACGCTTTTTTGCTAATCGCGCGGTGCTTTTTACACTTGCAACACCTGAGACATTTCCAAGGTAGAGACTCCGAGTTCACCTAAAGGTTGGCTACAACCTCCGTCGGTAATACCAATTCTTATAGGCTTGAGATCATGACAAGATTGTCGCATCTCTAATATTCTGTCAGATCCATGCCGTTTCTATTCCGAAAATCTTAACGAACGAAAGGGAGTGATAAGTGTAGCCTTTGGCGCCAGGTCTTTTATAAATTTATACAAATTCGCAAGATCCAGCAGAATAAAAATGCTGGCATTATAGCCTTGCGGTGCTTATGTGAACCGTATGTAACTTCTTTAAGAACCTTCTGTCAACTAATTCGCTTTTAATCTTCTTTCAACCATTTCCGCATACAAACACGTATTTTGATTATCTGCTCATCACGCATTGTACACGTCTGCCGTGGCTAAGCATTATAATTTGATGTCATCTCCTATATCACGCATTATGAAGATTTCTACTACTGCAGCACAATGTTAGTTCCTTCACAAATTTTTATACTTTTTTTCGATTTGCGCTATCTGTAACGGGGTGCCTCCGCAACATGATACTTTACATGAGGTTATTATCAAGTATGAATGTTGTGTTAGGAAAACACAATATTCTCACATTTGTTTCCTGATAGATAATATTGCTTCGCAGATGCACTACAATGCTCATTGGTTGATATAAGACCAAGCTACTAATTAACAAAGTCTAACCATGACAAAAGCACGCAATGAGTGGTGGGAAGATAGTTATAATGCATGTTTGTATTCAGACATAGCTAAACGAAGTCACATAGGGATTTGTAAAAAGGATTGACTTTACTGAATACAGTTCTACTTTCTATCTTTACTATGCAACTCTACTCCGTACTGCAATCTACTTCGGCACGTACGTGTACTTAAGGTAGTCAAACGCACACACCCTTGCACTATCAGATGTGCAAGTTTCATTCAGTATTCCTGAATAAGGTGTGTCCCGTTATACCTGGTAGCACTTCGTGGTCAGCTCAACGATCATAGCACGTTGGAAGATAAGGGGGTTTGCTTTCATTTAATGCACGGAAGGTGCTCATATTTGAGTCAAATCGATTAAGATGCCATTGGATGCTTGAGGTCGACGATAGGGCAAGAAGCCATAGGTACACTGCTGTCCACGCTGGGGATAGACGGACATCACGCCACCATCGTCAAGTTCAAATGGGATGAGCTTGACGCGTGCGGTAAAATTAATCTTGCTTCACCAAAAAGGCCCTTAACAATTCAAACTGTTGAGACAGCAGCAGGCCACTGCTACCAGGTCGATGTACACACATCGACCTGAGACTCTATATATTGTACTTTAGAATATATGGGAGCCGATAACGACTCTCTGTTAAAATGGATCGTAAAACTATAAGATTTCATCAAGACTAGTCATTTTGTCGGTGAGCAAGAGCGATCTACAGTTGCTAGATCGAACTTGTCAGGGCATGCAAAGACGTGGGCCTGGGCCTCAAGTTACACGACTAATATGTCTTTAGGTCTTTAGAAGTCTTCAATTCCCTGCTTAAGCAAAAATTGTGCCGCCGCGAGCTGAGTTCAGGGCTCGCTCTGGACTCCCAAAAATTAAGCAAAGAAAACGTGACATACACTCGTACATTCACTGCATACGTCACCTTACCAGCTGCATCACAGTCGACATATAAACCAACAAACGTGGATCACGTTGTTCATGCAGGTTCCGACGTATGGTCCCGTTAAATCCTACCTTTTCTGGTTGGAATTTAACAACATGAAAGAGTCCGTAAGAACTACGGAACAGGAGGGCTACAGCGTGAATCCGTCTCACGCGAATCGATATTCCTATCGAAAGTCGAGACGACAGGAAAATGGAAGATAGAACAGATGTGACTCTGTCAAACGGGGGGCAAGAGCTCTTGTGTTAACAGATACAAGAAATTGCAAACATGCAATAGATATCAGAAGACTAAACGTTATGCATACTAATGCAGCGTCCCAAACTCGGCACCACGTACCGCGGGAAACAATCACCGGCAAGCGGCTAGGTGGGGCCCAAGGCGTGGGTCCGACGTTGATTCGTCTTTGCAACAACGTTACGGACAGCCAAAAAACGGTCAGGGTCAGTAAGTGTAGAAAAGCCTTACGAATCCAGCAACGTCAAGTGAGTTTTCAGGCCTCTCGACGAAAGTTGCTCTGAAACCCAATCATTGTGTTTTCTGCTCCTGGTGATGAGATTTCTCCCATTAAGTTTAGACTCGAAGTGACAAGAAACATGTCGCTTTGGGCCCTGGTCAATTGTAGGGCGTCGAAAAACTCTGTACATCGCCATTTGCTGGACAACAGAGAGCTTAAATATGTCGGTCGCGAGATCCCTCCAACGAGGATGACAGTGCTCCTCGTGACAGGCGCATCCGTATCAGGGGTGAATAGTGTAGTGATTAATACATTTACACTGAACGTAATGATGTCTACATCAAATTAGACTTAGATGACAAATTAGATGCGATCCTTAGACTACCGTTGCTCAAACGGTACGAGCCACAAGCCTGTTGTCATCGGCGAAGTCGATATGTCTGCCACTTGTTCACCAGAAGACCATATGATGAACGTCATGGAGCCCCCACAAACAAGTAATGTACTAAGAGCGAGTGCGATGGCCTCCCGTGTGGTTCGGTCATTAGTACGCCCAACATTACAATGGCGTGACTGATAACCACACCAAAGAGACATTTTGAGGCGACTGTATTGAGACACAGATCTCGCCGAAGGCCCACCATCCGAATAAGTCGAGTGTACTGGGGCAGGAGTGCCCTTTTATCAGCAACACCCGAGTGACGACGAACCAATTGCCGAGGATCAGCAACGCGATGGTCTTAGTGCGATTGTATAGTTGGAAGTAGAAAACATGGCCACGGTAGCGCAACCACCGCCAGATGATAGAGAGGAAGCGGTTATACTTGTGCAATGTGAGGATAGAGCCCAAGAGGCTAGTGAGAAAACTAGTCCTCACCCGACTGTGGGAATTAGTTTCTTGAAAAAAACAAAGACAGCAAAAGTCCTGTTTAATGACGGTCCGAGTAGAAGCACTTACAAACTTGACCTGACCGCTCCTACTAAGAGAGCTTCATGTATCACTTAACTTATCACGCACGAACAGAAGGGGTTCTTGCATGATATGAGTACAAGCAAAGTCAAGCAGATTTGCGAACTCGTCGCGAATGACGAGTATGTTTCCTATATTTGGTCGGTACTGGTATGTAATGAGACCGAAAGGGTTCTCAGCATCTCATGAGTGGGCGAGGGGGTCATTTCAGAGAAGACTCGAATCGAGCGATATACATCCCAATTGCGGGAATCTCTCAGAACAAATTTTCTTCATGATAATTTGACGGAAAAATAGAGATGCGTTTCTAGCAAAAGCGCCGTGCAAGTTAATCAAAGATAATGATACTCATCATGAGATCGGTGTGGTGGAGTGGCGATCGCTCAAATTTATGAGTCAATCCCAACTCTCCACTGGCGCCCGGACGACCGACTAACGGAGGTTGTACTCCGATTCCGTATATGTTGCCTTCCTGACCTTGTGTACCCGTCGGTAGGAAGAGTACAATCTTCCAGGTGGACTCGTGTCGAAGGATATCTTGACCGTGTTGGGGATGGGGTTGTGATCGTGCGGAAATCTTCACGCGATCACGGGGTACTTGTGGGTACTGATTTAAGTTACCCCGATCTCAACGAGATCGCCTTGTCCACTATGTGGTTGCTTGATCCGCGAGCCTTCTGACCACTTGAGTCGTCTCGCGATCTTGCGCCTTGACTTTACGTGTCTTGCTGCGTCCGATCGAATTTGATGTTGCTTGAGAGTTCTTGAGCACACCTGGCCAAAGCAATCCAGGTGTGACACTTGCGTAGACGTGTAGCGCGACTCTTTATTCGACGGGGGGCCAAAGATCCTACCTGAAAGAGATAACGTGTGCCTTATGAAGTAATTTGAACTCTGTTTAAATGTCAACCAACCTAAGCCCTACCCCTATGCCTATTCGTATATCCTAACCAGATGCCACGCGTCGCCTTTCCAGGAAGATCGTCCCCTCGCATTTGTGTGGTCCACACCCAGTATATCAGCAGTTGTATCTTCTTGTGGCCCACCCAAGATATCCCCATGATCCTGATAGCGGATCGTGATCCTACTAGTGGATCGTGATCCTACAAGCGGATCGTGATCCTACTAGTGGACCGTGATCCTACAAGCGGATCGTGATCCTACTAGCGGATTGCAGCTTCGATCGGACTTGCGATCCTGGGTTAGAATCGCGGTCTTCCAGTGAGAGCGAGGGTCTTGTCTTGCCATGTCTCACGACGGATTGCGTAATCAAAACGGGTGTGACCACCCTATAGCCTCGTCCCAGGCTGGACAATCCTGTCCACTTGGGGTTTGGGTACGCTATTGCCAGCTACCCATCCCGGCCTGTATCTACCAATCATAGCATTCTTGGCTAAACTGGAGCGTGCGACCCGTGCGTTTGCCGATCCAAGTCCCGATAGAAATTTCCTTGTGACCGCTTTGCCACAACAGAAATTTCCTTGTGACCGCTTTGCCACAACTGTCCCCTGCACCGTCAGTCATCATACGGTGTTGATCGGGCTGTGCAACCTTGTGTGATTTATTCCTCTTCACGCAATTTCGCATCTTCTGACACGATGTCCGATTCAGCCCGTCCGGATCAGGTATCTCCTCGAGCTTCAGGATCGGGGCCCCTCGGATCTCCCTCTGCGATCCCAACTTCAGATGTCGGAACCTCGACGTCTACCAGTCCTGCGATCTCAGACGCCTCCACCGTGCCGGTGACCGAGTGTGATCGCTCGGCTGTGGTGACGTTGGCCCAGATGGAGGGAGGTTCTGGTTGGTTCTCCATCGCGATCCCTCTGTCGCGATTATCTTCGATCCCCGCTCCGGAAAGGACCCCCGCCGGCTAAAACGTCCCAACTCCGGATCCGAGTGAGCCCATCGTGCTCCGAAGTGTTCAGATCGAAGCCTCGTGTTCGGTCGATCGAGCCACGTTAAACGCAGCGTTCGTTTCACTTTACCTTCGCCTGAACCTACAACAGACTATCGTGGATCGGTATTAGAGTATGGAGGCTGCTTTAAAGCAGCAGATGATCCAGAATCGCCAGCTGAGTGAGGACCTACAGGAGCTCCGCACCTCCGCGTCCCCTTTCGTTCAGTTCGTCCAATCGTAGTACGACCGCTTGCGCGTTCGCTATGAAGTCGAGGTCAAGCAGCCCGGAGCCTTTCGAAAGATGTTGGCCGTCCGGGTTGACCAGATCTTCTTGATCGAACAGTTGAAATCTGAAATTCTCCGGACTGTGCGAGCACGTCATGCCGCACAGGAAAAAGCCGATCGTGAGATCGCCGGGATACGCAAGTAGATGGACGAGGCGGGAGAGCGGTTAGTGGCTGAATGCGACAAGTTGTACCACAACATGGACAAGGCCAACAGCAAGAAGTCGAAGCACAAGAAAACCGTTCTTCAACTCCACGAGAAGCTGCGTCGTGCACTCAAACAAGTAGTGGGGCCCCAGGCCGACCAGAAAAAGCTATGTCGCGCGCTCAAGCAGGTATCGTGGCTTCAGGACGAACTGGGAGAGGCGCAGGGTTCTCTATCCGCCCGATCCGCTGAGTGTGATCAATTGCGTCGCATCTTATCGGATCGTGACGTTACGTTGGACCAGATGAGAGTTCAGCTCGCGGACGCGGCTTTCGAACGTGATCGCGCAATACGAGACCACACGACCCTTCGAGATCGCATGGCGTTGCTGGTGTCTGGGGATACTTCAGCCACACCTACGAAGGTGGGATCGTCTACCCACACGCCCGTTCCCGCGCCTCCTCAGCCGATGTCGAACGGTTTAGGATTGTGTCGCAAACGATTTTGCGATCCCCTACCATCGTCAACTTTGCCGCCTTTCTGGAAAGTGACTCGACCCGCTGCGTCAAAAGTTAAGCCATCCCTACTTTGCGTTTCCAAGGTGGCACGATCCGCTGCTGCTAAAGCCAAGCCGTCCCGAGTTCGTGATCCCAAGCCTCCATCCGCTCCTCCATCCGCTCCCAAGGGAGTCTGCGATCCTAAGGGTCGTCGCGATCTCATGAATCGTCATGATCCAGCGAAGCCTGCAGCTACCTCGAAACTAGGCAAGCAGAGGCGCCGTGGTCCAGGCTTAACCTTGTCTAAGGGGGAGGATACATCGGCAGGTGAGGATAATACTTTAGCGGCTTTATCCGGTTCGCGATCCTCCAGTCGTCTTCGAGCGTCCACTCCGGCGGCACAAACTTCGGCTGGGCCTTCTCCGGATCCGATCGTCATAGACACGCCGAGCTCTTCGCGCGATCCTCCACCTCCGGTTGATACTGTTATTCCTACCGTGACCAAGTTATCTCGCGCAGACCTTTTCGGAGAAGCGTCCAGCGACTCGGATGGTGCCATCAGCCTTTTCGATTCCCTGAATCCAATGTTATCCCAAGCGGGTTATGATAGCTTGCCCCCTACCAATGTCTCTCGCGACCAGTGGATCCCTGGATATCGAGATCGCGTACCGCGATCGTTCGCTCAGGTTTCTCCCTGGTTGGCACGCAAGGTCAGTTGGACGAGCGTTGCGGAGATGGACACTGACTTTTTGTACCGCCACTTATCTTGTCCTAAAGGCTATGTCTTCCCGACGGTAATGGTGGCCAAGTGTCCTCCTTCCACATCTGAGTGGACATTTCGGCTGGCGTGTTCGGCACAGATCGCGGCCTTACACGTCCAAAAACCTTGGGAGACAGCCACACGTTGGATTGCGCCGATCTCCTTCCCTCGTACTGGCTGGTTCGACCAGCTCGCCTCTCTATACTTGGAGTTCGAGGATCGAAACCGATAGGCTTTGTGGGAGTTGAAGCACGCGATCTTTCCAGTGAACAACGGGCCAGCGATCCTGAGCTTGACCAGTTCCGGAAACAGCGGAAGCAGCGTCGGTCGCGAGCTGGGCTTCGGTGGAATTCGATCCTTCGATTTATCTTGCAAGGTATGATCGCAGGTCATTGTGATCTGGATATTCTGTTGGATACATTCTTTCTGCACTTTTCTTCTTTCAAAAACAAATACCCTTGGTATCCTGGCCTGGGATGCACACCGAAGGGCATATCCAATTTGATCGCTGCTCTCTCGTTGCTGGATGCCGCTGAACGTTGGCGTTACCAGTATCGATCCTCTATCGCTGACCACCCCGGATCATCGATCACACGATTACCAGGTAAGTTCTTTCCTGCTTGATCGCTAGGATTCGATTCAGATAATTTCATAATTCAATACAACGTTTCTTGATCCTTCATCTTGTTCTTTATCTTGAGATCAACGTCTTTATTTCGGCTTTTCAACCGCGATCGGATCCCTTCGATCCGCTATCGCCGCTCATTTTACATATAGCCCCGATCCAATATCTCATGCAACCTCCTTGTACATATGCCCATCCACTATTTCACGTCCACCTTTTAGCATGCGCCAACCGCTCATCGCTTCGATTACCTGTTAATCTTCGTTTTCCTCCTCATAGGACTGCATGAGTTTAAACCGATTTTGACTCGCACGGTTGCGCTTGAAATCTTGCAACAACGCACCACAGTTCAGGTCCGCTTCGTCTATACAGGTCGGATCGTCGTGTTGCTTCCTTTGAACCAAGATCTGTCGATGTACTCGGCCATAACGAGTTTTACGTCCTGATCGTACACCCAAAATTTTCTCCACTTCGTATTTTTCAGCGCCAACTCGTTTTCCCAACTACCTCTCGGCAACAACGACTCATCATCATCCACACGATCCTCACAGTTAGTCACTAGCACACTGCCTGGGAGATCAAAAAAATGTACCACTGGATTTAACTTGGAGACGTGCCCTATCGGGAACAATCGGTATGGAATGCCTGAAATCTTCACCCGAACAGCATGTTCCTCACATATCTACGCCACTCGGAACGGTCCATGCCACATATGTGCTAACTTTCGAGCATAGCCGTCTTTGAATCGGTCCAAGTAGAGCCAAACTTGCGATCCGCACTTAATATCACACAGTTCGTTATTGTCATTGTGTCGATCCACTCGATCTTGGATTGCGATCTTGAGACGTTCGTTTACCACTGCTCTTGTCCTCTGATATTGACGTTGGACGTTGTAAATCCACCTTCTAGGGTCAGCATCGCGTGTTTTAGTGCTCCCCAACGGTAATGCTGCTTCCAATGTCAATCTTGGATCCCAGCCATGGATCAAATTAGAATGGAGTGTCTCCACGGATCCGATCTTGTGCCGTATTCATAGCGATTGTCAATCTTTCTGCAATTTTATCCCAGTCTTTCTGTTCTACGTCCGTGACGTACATCTTGATAGACCGAGTCAACGACTGTACCATACGCTCGCAGTTCCGTTCGCTTGCAGTCGGTACGCCATGGTCGCACGACTACGAAGTGGACGAAAACGGATCACTTTTCTTCAGCCCCCGATCCGCTAAGGAATCGGATGATCGTATAAAGATGGTCCGTCTGATTGCACCGAAATTGGTTTAGCTAGATTTTATGCACCATTACCACACAAGCTTGGAGGGTGGTCACCAGGGGATCGGGAGGACTTATCAGCGGATCAGATCCAATTTTCATTGGAGAGAATTGCATCGGATTATACAACGTTGTGTTGGCGAACGCATGGACTGTACAACCGGGAAGGGTCTACCCGCGATCCGCGGCAGATCCCTGCGAAAATACAGGCTACATACCCGCTTCAGGTGATCGCGATGGATCATATCCCATCATTGCCGCGGTCATTCAAAGGAAACTCAGAACTGCTGCTGTGGGTAGATCTTTTCTGAGGGTATGTGATCGCGAGAGCGAGTTCGACAAGAACCGCGCAAACGATCGCTGAAGGATATATAGAATGTGTGTTTCGAAGATTTGGAGCCACTGAAGTCATACGTCACGACAGTGAGCCTGAGCCTGAATTGATGTCCGATTTGTTTCGAGCATTTAATCGGATGCATAATTTTGCATCCTCTGCGTTTAACTGGGTCAGATCACCCACATGAAATTCCTTCAGGCTAGCGATCCAGCTCTCTTCCTCTTGTGCTTGATTTATCCACTCGATCCGCATCCGCTGCACTATACCTCCTTGTAAAACTTCGGGTTATTGACGCCTTGGCTGCGCGGATCGTGTGGTCGCTATCATTTTTACCACGCGATCCGTCCTTTCCGGCAGAAGCAACTCGTTCAGCCTGTTGAGTGCTATCAAATCTTGCAATTCTTGATCTAAGCTCACAATGACACCTTCCTCTTGCTGAAAAGCTGCACTGGCTAGTCGATCCGCACTTTAGTTCCACTCCCTGTTCATGTGCAGGAACTCGTGTTTTGACCAAGATCGATGTTTCTGCATTGCTGTATGACGCAATATCTGTAGCTCGGGCGCTTTACAATCCATCTCTCCCCGCATTTGCCTGATCACTGGGTTCGATTCACCACATAAAAAAAGTCGTCCCCTAGTTTGGTTGTCCAGCAGGTCGATACCCAACAACATGCCACGATATTCTGCTGCATTCACCGTCAGACCTGCCGCGTATTCCGAAGGGGCTTAGATGATGGTCCATTCTAATAGCTTCCAAACGATTGCACTAAATGTCCCGCTCTTCCGTTTAGTCCGTGCCGATCCGTCGAAACTGACCACAAACAGGCATTCATCCGTACTTACCGTGGGAGGTAGCATAGTCAATATTTGTTCAGGTTTCTTCTGTAAAGCGATCGCAATCAACACATCATCTACCTCATCTAGCGGAGTTATGCTGGCTGCGAGAGCGCCTAAAAAATATTTCATCCTCTCCTTTGTTACATCTCTTGACCTCCAGTGTCCAATTCGATAGCATCGCAGCCCATCTTCCCTGTATCCCTTTAAGAAAAGAAGATTGAACTAGCCAAGCTAATGTCGAATATCGAGTGAGCACCCTGATCTCACGGGATACTAGCATGGTGGAGCACACTTCCAAGATTCGAAGTAGGGCTAGAACTTCTTTCTCCACCATACCATAATAAACTTAAACAGGCTTTAGTGTGCGACTCGTGAATGTTACCAGCCAATACACGCCGTCATAATCTTGCAATAGAGATACCGACACTGTCCACTAACTAGCATATACTGTGGTGAAGCCGATCTCACAGAATTACTTTAGTGGGTGTCGACCTTCCACTTGCCCAGACTTGCCGACTCACGGAGGGGGTACTCCGATCCGTGCCTTGCTCTATAACCTTGTGCTCACCTTGTGTACCCGTCGGTTGGGCTGGCTTGAGCTCTTCTTAACGGCCTTGGGAGAAGTCGATCGTGCTGAAAGGTTGGGTTGAGAGTTCGCTTCCGGTGCGGAAATCTTCACACCACGAACAGGAATTCGGCAATCTTGATTCTCGAGTCGCAGCGATCTCTAGTTAGAGATGTCGCGGTCTCGGTCTCGAATCGCACCGATCTCGATTTGTCTTCGGGATCGGGGTCTTTGCTGTGCGGTAATCTTCACTCAGCAAATAGTAGCCTTGCGTCGATCTTGCCTTGGGATCAGTCCGATCTGGTCTTGAGATCGTCCGATCTTGCTGGAAGTGCGCAGTTTGGGCAGATCAGTACTTGGTTTCGCCAAAATGAAACACGCCGATCGGTCCATTGGATCGCTTCGATCTTGCTCGGCCTTGTCTTGAACGCCTTGTCCAAATCTTATGACCACTTGAGCCGTCTCGCGATCTTTTGTCCAAAATCCTTTTCCTTTGTTGCTGCTACCCTAGCGGTTGAGTTGAGAGTGAGTACTTGATCGATCCGAGCCAAACTTCCCGAGGTCGCTCTTCCCGATCTTGGCCAACAATCCAAGATCGGTCTTCTGTGTCCTTGCAACACGCGTGCCTTGACCCGCCGGGGAAGCCAAATCAATCTTGCCCGGAGAAGAGGGGAGGAGAACGTGTGTCGTGAGCAGAAGAAGTAGAGTTCAAGTCTGTTTATTAACCAACCAAATTAGTATTTAACCCATCTTTAAGCCTATTCCCAACTATAGGTCACTCTCCAAGTCGATATCACCTTTAAGCTTGACCGCCCCCTTGAACACATGTCAAGATTTCATGACCTGTACTCCAAGATAGCGCCAATATCCCGATATCGTACCTAAACGCCAAAAGAGGACCAAGTCCCAAATGTGGTACCAAATACCCATTTTTGGTACCCAAAAGCCCGAAATAGTGCCCAAATGCCGAATGCGTCTAAATCCATTTGCAACGTCAGTTAACCGGCTTCCACTGGCTCTTTCGATCCGAACTCTTGAGACATCACTCATGGACCTTCAACAAGCATGTTTGTCATGATCCAAAAGTCTCATCAACGATTTATCCATAATCAGTGGGGAGCGTGACCGATCTGATGTCCAATTCGAGATCGTTGAGGATCGAAACAGTACAATCCGGCCATATATGTTCTTCTGTTCATTGTGTGTACTTCTATACCATCCCCAAGGGTTTATCTGCTCAATGGGACCATTTACACTTCTAACAACGGCCCCAAGGACTCCCACAAACATGCCCACTTCCGGATCGGGCCATAATCAACCTAAATCAGTACTCCCTTTGGGAGACCCGTAGAGAGTGTCACCGATCTGCAGGATGTTACACCTTCATCACAGAGTCACATCACATCACCTAGTCCCAGATCTTTGTTCCAGATCGCTCCATGGAAATCGTTCTATTTGTCGTCTTGTCCCAGATTGCTCCGTCTCAGATCGTTCCTATCCCATCAGTCTGACGACAGTTGGATCGGATCGCCGATCCCCGTTGAGATCGCCTTCCATCTCCTTATTGGATCGCCAGGTCCCATGGCCTCTTTTTACACCAGTAAGTGGCGTCTCAAATAAGTGGCCACCAATCCTCGTACAAATATTTGATTAGTGACTTCGCCACAATACCACGATCACTGGAAGTCGATTTGGATCGAACTGTTTGAGGATCGGGGTCGTAGCGATCTTAACCTATATCAAAGTGAATGCAAGGGCGGCCCTTTCCTACCAAGATCGGTCATTTGGAACATGCTCACCCTCTTGTAATGTGTTATCGCAACTTTCCGACATCGCATCACAATCTCCCATATGGCTCATCTCACAAAAATTCGCCTCTCGTAACTCGTAAAACACAGATGCATACACTGCAAAATCTTTTATAAAACGACAGTAATAGTTAAAGCTACCCAGGAACGATTGCATGGATCGCACAGCTGTGGGAAAAGGAATGTTGACCAGCGATCCTAGATATTTAGGATTGGCCTCCAACCCAGCCAAAGATACCTGACGACCTAATTAGTCCACCTTACGCCGTCCCCAAAAATTCTTAGTCAGACTGATCGACAGATTCCATCGACCGCATGCTGTCAATAACATTTCGACCTTGTCCTACAAAGATGTTCATGAAGTAGCCGGGATCAATAAATCGTCAATATAAGATCGCCTGCCCAGCACTGAAGGCGCTTGATCCGTTTCAGGCTGTCCCTCAGTAAACACATCAGTTAATTTAGGATAATCCTTTGCATTCGCATTCTTATCTGCGCCGATCTTAAGATAACCAAATAGAGCATTGTCTATCAAACGCTGATAAATCTGTGGGGCGTTCTTCAATCCAAAAGGCATTTGCAACCATTCAAACAGACCTGACGGCGTGATGAGCGCAGAGATCGATCTTGCTCGTTCGGTCATCTCTACCTTCCAAAATCCACATGCCATGTCCAGCGAACAATACCACATTGCATTGTCCATGTCCTGCAATAATTCACTGATAAGTGGCATTGAGTACACCATCAGCTGTGTTAGCTGATTAACTCGTCGATAGTCGATACACAGTCGGATATCTTCTCCATTTTTCTGAATAATCACGACTATTGGTGATACCCTCGGCGATGTCGAAGGTCGGTTAATCTTGGCTGACAACAGGCCTTTTATCAGATCGGCCAACGTCTCACGAAAATTTGGCGCATCAGGTCGTACATGCTAAGAGATCGGCCTTGCCTCTCGCACATCAAAATCACAAACTGCCCCGTGTGCTGCAGGGGTAAAGCATTTCCTTTCCCGATCAACAGATGACGACTCTTCTATATCAGTCGTCGCAAATCCTGTTGATCCTCAGTAAAGGGTATTCCAGGATCGCCAACCTGGACATCGTCTTGTTATCTCGGTCGTAAATGTTATTACCTCGGGCAGCACAGCCATGTGTTGTTCCACATCTTCCGCGAACAATTTACTTCCCTCGTGGTAGTGTGTTGATTCATCCGGTGCATCATTTTCCATTACTTCGCCGTCGATCGTAACAGCTTTCACGTCGTCATCCAGTCGTGTAGACTGGCCATGCACCTCCCGATCTTCTATCTTGATCCCGTCTGGGTGACAGTTGGACTGTCCTTGTAGCGGATCAGTTATCTCACGGTTGTCTTTCGGTGTCATAAACACCTCTGCAACCATGTCCTCTTCACCCGAATGTTCTGGCGTCTTCCGCACTGCGTTGACCGCACACGATCTCATTGTCGACCTATCATCCTTGTCTGCGTTACTCTTTCCACTCGTACATTCGTCCTGCAACTCCTCATTGGAGTCACCGTTAGAGTCGGATAGTGAGGCGATCTCTGCAGAATCGTTGATATCGTCTGATTTCCGTTTTGAGCGTGTCAAAGTCCGGGTAGGTCTCTCATACTTTGGATGATCCTCGAACGGGCCCGTGTAGGCTTCAGTTCTTCTTCTTTTCGATTTGTAGTGGCTTCAAAAGCCAATCTCTGCCATTCCATGTACCGCCGCGATCGTACGGACACATATCCTTTAGATCGCGGGATCATGTCTTCTGTCATCCACATCGCTAAAGGTGCTCCGCAGTTAAAGATAAAGTCACGATCGCTTACATTTGTAAACTGCAGGAACTAATCCTTACATGGCCATTCGTCACGGTAGGTTCCCACGCCACATCTCGTCGCACCCAAACCTTAAATTTTGGAGGGTTGACGCCGATACTGACTTCTGTCGGTCTGCCGGCCGCAATGGCTATATCGTTAATGTTGACCGCCGATATTTTCATCAGTACGGTGGTCTTCGTCCAGACAGACAGATTCGAAATTCATCGGGCAGGCAAAGGGTTCCGTCGGCCAAATCCAAACGGATACCTGCAGGAACCATGAAGTCCATGTCTAGTATAGCTTCTTGACCGACTTGATACCCAACATAAACATCAAAATAATACACTAGTGATCCGTTCAGTGTGATCTTGATCTTGTTCCGTCCTACCGTCATGTAAGTACTGTCTCCGATCCCAACACATTCTTGTGTTTGGTTCTCGTCCATCACACACCCTACCTTACGAACAAAGGTAGTGTAGATGATCGAGATCTCCGCACCAGAGTCAAACAGAAAAGTGGCCTTCTCATTATTGATCTTGCCCACTGCAATTCGCTTATTATTCCATTTTCTCGGAGTACGAAAATTCTAGTATACCCTCGACTCACCTGGGGTGAGATCAAGCTCCATCTCCACCGGGGATCGGGCATAATAGTCCACTCGCTTCATATTGATATTAAAGAGGTCCGTATTGAAAGATAGTATATGTTAGAGATCAAATCGCGCCGATCCTTAAATCCTTGGTCATCCGACTTCATCTTAACAAATGCATGTATGCATAGCCCAGAACGCTCGGCTCGTGCCAGATTCTAACCTGGCGAGCGTCCTTGTTTAACATTTCCTCTACCTTCTGAGGAAGCACACCCGCATGCTTAGTAGGTACATACTACTGGCGGATCAAGTTAAAGAACTCTTCCATGGGGCATTTGCCATTCTCATGTACCTCTCCACATGCTGCACACACGTAGAAGCACTTGTCCGATGGATGCCCTTTGCGACCGCACTTCTGGCACGTTAGTCTCTGCCAGCATCTACGATCATCATGTCGCGCCGATCCGCAGTGGGTGCATGCCTTCGACTTTCCACTTCGATCACGTCTATCTTCTTGACCAGTATACTTCTGCCAGGTTCGATGAATTTTTTACGATCTCTCTTGACCAGATGTAGTGGTCACACAAACTCGGCGGCGATTCTTGTCTTCATCCGATCCCATCGAGTCCGATTCCGATCCGCTACTTTCGATCCGCTCACGGATTGCCCTCACCGCCCGAGAAGTCTTGGATGGCGTAGGATTTGGGGAGCCATTCGCTCGCTGGTAGACCTTGTTCGATCCTGTCGACGTCTTCAACTGACGACTCTCCATCCTTTGGCATGCACGTAACGTCTCATCCAGCTCCTCGATGTCGGCCAATCGTAGTAGGGTCAGCTGCTTGGCCAGATCGCGATCGTCCAACGTGGCAATGAAATGTTTCACATGTTCACGACGTGTGTCCGATGTGGCCACCCTCTCGTCTCTGATGGCGATCTTGGCATGCATAGCCGCGACGTTTAGGCGGTGTAGATACTCTTGTGGATTTTCATCCGATCGTTTTCGTGCGAGATAGTATTGTCTGGCCAGAGACTAACCTTGCCCTCCATTCTGTACCACAAACTCATCCAGCAATCTCTTCCAATTCTTTCGAGTGGATCGACCTGGTTGGTAATTATACCAGTTTTAAGCGGGTCCTGCCAGCAGATCTCCGAACACCGAACACTCCTCCTCATCAGGTGCTTGATCGCGCAAGAAAGACGATTTGACCTTGCTAGTCCAGCTTCTGGCCCGATCTTCATCTCTATCCTTGCCACTGAATTCTTTCAGCTCTGTCATCGCCGATACTCGAATGCGTTGAGTTATTCTACCACCATATTGCAACGTCTCGGTCGTAGCTACCATAGCGTGCCTACGATCTTCTTGTCCCGAATCATCGGGATCGATGTCGTCAGGGTCGAAAAAAAAATCTCCGGTTGACTGATGCGCGACTGCACCTATTTCATCTCCACAATGGGGGTAAATCTTTCACGGGGTCTAGCAGGCTTGATTCTTTGGTTAGGGTAGATCGCTCGATACGCTCGTATCCGTTGATCTTGGCGAAAACGTTTCATGGCCTCATCGAGGTGTGTCTGCAGGAGTCCTTGCGTAGGAGTCGTCATCTTCTCTTTAGAGCCTGTGGCCTTCGATCGCGAGTTCAGCTTCACCGACTCGACTCGATCGCGTAGATGTGTTGCATCACTCGGGCCTAGAGACATTCGCTGGATGCCGACGGAATCTTCCGACTCCATCTCTGATTCCGCCGAGGCATATTGTGACGATCCGGTATGATACCCCATTGGGACATCGGCGATCGTGGCAACCGCTTGATCCGCGGATCCGCACATCCCCGTCAAAGGAATTATCTTGCCATACAGCGATAGACACGCATGGATCACTAGTCCTGATCGCTCTCCAGCAGTTCGCTCACACCCAACGCCCCAGCGACGTATCCAGCATCTTGCATCAGCTGGATGATCGCAACTATCCCTTCTACTGCGTTAGTCGCCACCTTCGGTCGGGATATCTGGCCTTGTATCTCTCCGATTAGCCTAGGATTCAGTATCCGTAGCACGGGGTCGCTCGATAGCAGATTCTTGAGCGCCTTCCAGTGTTATCCCTGCTCCAGATGATCCAACTGCCAGCCTTTCATCTTCATGTCCAGAGCATCGTCCACAAACTTGATCGGTTTCACGATCGCATTCACGCCTCGATTGTGTCGATCCGATCCGGGATCTTCTTTCTTCACTCGATCTGTCTTCAAAATCGTCTTCTTTGACATTGCCTGAGTGGTCTTGTGCAGTTTTTGTTCAGTTTTCGCTGAAGGTATTTACCCAGCGGATCGTGTTTTGCAGCACGATCCGCGGTGGTCCCCAAAGGAACCTTAAGAGGGGGTCAAGGTTTATCTTCCAGATCGACTGATCGATCTTGCCCTTTGATTTTCTTGTTTCAGAGCCCCTCCCAAAACTCTGATAATCCGGGGATCCTTTAAAATCACGCGTTGGAGGCGATCCCTTTGCTCTAACGCTTCCATTCCAGGTTCAGTCTTGACTTTCACTTCTTCACTTAGGGACTCACAGTGAAATTCCGAATCACCAGAAGATCCGGGCACGCGCAGTATTGTGGTGGAGTGGCGATCGCTCAAATTTATGAGTCAATCCCAACTCTCCACTGGCGCCCGGACGACCGACTAACGGAGGTTGTACTCCGATTCCGTATATGTTGCCTTCCTGACCTTGTGTACCCGTCGGTAGGACGAGTACAATCTTCCAGGTGGACTCGTGTCGAAGGATATCTTGACCGTGTTGGGGATGGGGTTGTGATCGTGCGGAAATCTTCACGCGATCACGGGGTACTTGTGGGTACTGATTTAAGTTACCCTGATCTCAACGAGATCGCCTTGTCCACTATGTGGTTGCTTGATCCGCGAGCCTTCTGACCACTTGAGTCGTCTCGCGATCTTGAGCCTTGACTTTACGTGTCTTGCTGCGTCCGATCGAATTTGATGTTGCTTGAGAGTTCTTGAACACACCTGTCCAAAACAATCCAGGTGTGACACTTGCGTAGACGTGTAGCGCGACTCTTTATTCGACGGGGGGCCAAAGATCCTACCCGAAAGAGATAACGTGTGCCTTATGAAGTAATTTGAACTATGTTTAAATGTCAACCAACCTAAGCCCTACCCCTATGCCTATTCGTATATCCTAACCAGATGCCACGCGTCGCCTTTCCAGGAAGATCGTCCCCTCGCATTTGTGTGGTCCACACCCAGTATATCAGCAGTTGTATCTTCTTGTGGCCCACCCAAGATATCCCCATGATCCTGATAGCGGATCGTGATCCTACTAGTGGATCGTGATCCTACAAGCGGATCGTGATCCTACTAGTGGACCGTGATCCTACAAGCGGATCGTGATCCTACTAGCGGATTGCAGCTTCGATCGGACTTGCGATCCTGGGTTAGAATCGCGGTCTTCCAGTGAGAGCGAGGGTCTTGTCTTGCCATGTCTCACGACGGATTGCGTAATCAAAACGGGTGTGACCACCCTATAGCCTCGTCCCAGGCTGGACAATCCTGTCCACTTGGGGTTTGGGTACGCTATTGCCAGCTACCCATCCCGGCCTGTATCCACCAATCATAGCATTCTTGGCTTAACTGGAGCGTGCGACCCGTGCGATCGCCGATCCAAGTCCCGATAGAAATTTCCTTGTGACCGCTTTGCCACACATTAGCTTGTTGTTTTTGTTGATCTAGGCGATAAGTCATTGCGTCACGCACATGTCGTAAGACATTCAATCGCGTTGCGGGAAACTCGCCTACCTGTTTTTGACCAGTAGCAGGGCTGATGTCAGCAATGGATCAGCAACCTCTACCCCAACAAGCCCTGAACCACAGAGTAGTAGCGTTAACGGAACGCGAGGGTGGGTGAGGCCGTTACGTAAAACGTAGTAAAGCCTGTGAAGGCATGAACAGCATTATTCAATGCAAATTCAACAACAGTGAGAATTGAGCTCCAACGCCGTGGCATTTCAGCGCAAACACTGCGCAAAATGTCATTAATGACGCGATTTACACGCTCAGTTTGACCATCGGTCTGCGAATGATCCGCCGTGGACTTGTCCAATCGGGTGCCGAGCACCTTGAAGATAGGCTTCCAGAACTTCCCGGTGAATTCGGGATCTCTATCAGAGACAATTGCCACAGGCAAACCATGTTGTCAAAACGCACGATCGATTAACAGCTTTGTTGTGCCTTCAGCATCGATCGTGTCCGGCACAGCCGCTAAATGATCCATCTTGCTCAACCAGTCACAAAAGGCCACAACACCAGTGTTGCCTTCCAAATCTTTCGGTAGGCCGAACACAATATCCACACTCATCGATTCCCAACAATCTGTGGGTACAGGAAGACTAGTCAGCAGCGCAACCACATGTGCAGAGGTTTGACCCGATGTCACGTTTCGCACGTACCCACGTAGGTGCTCACCCATTCGTACATCTTGGGCCACCAATAAGCCTGGCTCTCTGAACCGTAGGTCTCCTCACGACCAAGATGACCACTTAAAGCGGTATCATGTGCCTCATAGAGGATTCGGTGCTTCAACTCCTCATTATGAGCCATTGGCATTTAGTCTCACGGTGCTTCTAGGCACCATAGTTTAACTCATTAACATGCATTAAATATACTGCTCGTCTCTTTACACTAAATAAGCACCCTCACTTTGTGTTCTTCCTCTGTACCTACGTGCACGTGCACATGACGTCTCGAGGCACCCACTTTCGCTGTGTCTAATTTAAGTAGCTTGTGCCATGTAAGCACGAGCGCCCGGTGCCCAATTACACATTCGGTTATACCCAAACTATGGAATACGAAAATGATAGATAGTCTTACTTAAAAGTATACTACACATATGATAGAAAAGCAGTTGAATGTAATTTGCGTCTCACTTCATACAAATTATTGAATGTCTTAAAATATCTTGATGCATGTCGATTACAAACCGAGACCGAACTCGTCCGTGTTTCTAAACGTGTTTGGCCTTGGTTTCTAATCATTTCTCTAGATGTAGACAAACTCGACAACTAGCAATTATCTACGGGACGACCTCTAGACGTACAATCCCGAAGCGCAGGGAGCAGGTGTGCGTACGAGCAGTCATGCGGCAATGAGGAGATGCAAACGAGGACAGTATGTTTTATCCGAGGCATGCGACGTATTGACAAGAATGTATTTGTGGATACAGTGGTGCCAACACATTATTTCGTGGCGAATAAATGTGGTAATATGATGCCATTAATCTTGAGAAAGAGCTTTGGTCGTTTCGGATGGACATGAAACTATTTCACTTTCATTTATTATTTAACAGTGAAATAGTGTTTTCTACGCTCTTTGGATCCCCAGAAATATTGTATTATCGGTCCTGTAGCTGATACAAGCTCACAATTGTACACACAATCGTCAAATTTTCGTGATATTCAATATACCCAAGAGTGACGAAACGAGATGATCTTTCGTTGAATCATATGATTAGTTTTTCTCGAAGTACTTCAAAAGAAATGTGTTGGAAAAGACGTTGAAAAGATGGTAATTTCGAGACAAAAGTGAGGGAATTTTGAGAAGAAGCAAAATGCGCGGCGCAAAAGACTGCCAGTCTTAAAATTTGTGTTCAGGCAAGAATACAGATAGTGAAAGAGCGAAGACATTTCGAGAGCAAAAGTCAGGTTGGGCAATAAATGCACAGGAGAGCAAATATAAGAGCTTTGGTAGCGTGGATAGTGCCAAGCCAAATTTAAAATTTGTTCACCGTCAGCTACGCAGTACTACTATTTCTTGCAGAACGCATGGAATGGCTGTAACATAAAATAATTTAACTTTGTAAAAAAAGGTTGGATGCTTAAAAAGTAAATAGTAACTTTGATGAAGTCGTAACAAGGTAGTCATAGGGGAACCTGTGTCTGAAAGAGATCCCAAAACATTCCTAAATTCATTTTTAATGTGAGGAAAATCGTCTAGTTTCTAAAATTATTGCTATCAAAAATTTTGTAATGGGTGCAGATTCCATTTTCCGGTTTTTAGTTTACTAAAATTTTACAAATATGTTAGATATCAAATCCGAAATAAAAAGCTTGTAGATTATAAATTAGAAATCGACTTAAAAATATTTTTATGATTTGTTTAGCTAAACAAATTAAACAAATTTTATTTATTATTTTCAAATAAAAACATCACACACTGAATTTGAATGGATTTTTATTCAATCTGTGGGTAAAATGTCAAGTCGACCGATAAAATGGACGACTCCAAAAATATGAAAATGTGAAAAGACAAAATATAAAAGTACTTGAATCTTCAGAATGTCAAACGAGAGTTGATGCTTTCACACCTCCTATCCTTCATCTCACATCCTTCCTTTAAAAGTCAATTTTGACACCCTAATATCCAATTTAGACTAATCTATAGGTTTACCCCTTACATCGAAATTAATTACGTAGTACGCAAATAGTAGATGTGAACAAAAACAAATATCCATACTAGCGCCCTCCTTCTTGCCGTACATACTTTAGGCGCCAGTGAATAATACACTATTCATTCTGGTTCCGATCTTGCAGACACACGCTGCTGCTTTGTTGACAGGTCATTTGTGCATTCATATGATAGTCTGAAAAAGGTGAGAGACTGACAGCACACCAGTCGCGCGGTTGCATCTCACAAGCTGCCTGCATTTAAAATAGTGCTTTCGCCCACTAAAGAGCGCGCAACCATCGAAAATACGAAATGAGCTTGTGTGACTATATGAGAGCGCCTGCGCCTTTCTTTAATCGCTTAATAAGTTGTCAAAATAGATCCTGATAGTGCGTTTGTTCCGCAGCCCTACTGCGGGAGTTGTCCGATCTAACTATAATGACGTACTAAGGTGTAATGAGTGCGGCAATGACTTTGTAGCTACGTTGCGCATCTCAATCTAAAATCACGATAATTGTTTAAATTCTAGTCCAGACCACCTGTGGGGGTTGCGAAGGAGGACTGGACGGACATCACAGGAGGTCGAGAGAGGTATGCATAACAGTTCTGGTGAAGGGATTATTCTATTATTCTGGCATCTATGCTCAAACTTCGAATTATTGTAGATGGTGTGTACTCTATCACTTAGTAGACTGCATGGCGATGAACTTGATAATGACGTCGTTTTACCAACTACTGATCGCCCCTTCCAATATTACACAAATAGGCCAAGATACACTCGTGAATAGTTCCTTTTACTGTATCGTAGCTTTGATTCCAAGATTCGTCTCGCATGGCCCTTGAAGGTGCACTCCTGTCAAGCGAATATGTTATCGGAGAAAGGTATGAAATTTAGGTACACAATATGATTCAATACTTTCTCGATCGTTTTACGTAGAGAAAGAATGCGAGAAAAGGGCTATAATCACTAGTTTGGCAAAAGATGGCGAAAATCAAGATTGGAGGAAGGATGCGAAAATCAAGATTGGAGGAAGGATGCGAAAATCAGGATTGACAAAGGGTGTGAATTTAAGGAAAAGGGGTGCGATGTACCGCTCCCTTAGAATTTGATTTGGAGGAAAGATGATGTTGTATTGAGTGCAGTGTCGCTGTACGCTTTCTGGCTCGTGCGTAATACGCTTGTGAAATTACACCGCTCTTCACCCGTAAAGAGATGGAGCGTACTGGCGTTTCTATTATGATACATTTGACATCAACTCCCGAAGACAGCCGATGCAGCATCGACGCGAGCTCCGGATGAAGAGATTGCACTATTTGCCGCGATATTTACGTGTGTCTCCACAACGGCGGTGCCTGTGTGGCCGACATGTTGCCGCGGACCACAGCTATGCTTTAATTACAACGGGATGGTCGATCGGAATGGTCTCGTACTCCAAGACGTACAGGCTACTCTCGCTTTCATTGTCGAACGATGAGGACGGGGGCTTGAAGAACTCATCTAGCTTCACCACGACACACCCGTGCGCTTTCGAAATATTTTCTTGTGCAACATGTATAAAGAAATGCATGTGGCATCTGCCAAAAGTTTGGTTCTGCGCCAAGCGCCCTGTCCAACCGCTTCAGATCAGGTAAAACCTGTCGATACGAGGGCTGAAGGCTTATTAAGCCATCTTGAACCTCGGACGATGCTTGCTGAGGGCATGTACAAGCAGCTGATCAGAACAGCAACAAAAAGACAGCTGGATGCGAAGCAGTCAGAATACTGGTCGAGGAGAGCTGGTAGAATTCAAGCCAGATGATTACAACCCATTGATCTCTTCTATGTTTGCCTAAGACGTTCGTACGCACATGAGATAACACGCTGCTTTCTTTCGATCATGTGAGTCGTAAAAAGACGTCTCACCCTGTCCCTGGATCTAAACGACGCACGTGGCGCTTTTTGTTGTGGTTGATGTGCCTTAGGCATCGCCGAGCGTGAGATCTGGCTGGAATCCACGGTTGCACACAAGCCGATTAGAATGAACTGAACCCTGTTTGGCTCGCATAATACGACTGTGTTCTGTGCTAATTGCGACGAGGCTTTCTTCTCTTGTGCGTTGGTAGCGTGGCACCGCCTCTAAATTTGGAAAGCCCGAGGCTTGAAGAGTTCTTCGAGCATCATCGACGACGTGGCTGCGGAGTGGACATCTTCTCCGGTCAGGAGTGCGTCAACATTACGGATAACTGGTATGCGGCAGCTGAAAGCAACTGGCCCACGCGAACATCGATCGGCGGCAACTACCGCTAGTAGGCTCGTCCCCTCGCCTGTCTCGAATTCCCGGTCAAGAACCACAAGGGCAGTGGGCCTCGCCGAAATCAGCCACGACGAGCTACCCTGCCCGGTGCTTCTATCTTGGCTCTGGACCTCCAGCTGTCTTGCTCCTGTTTACAAGAAAAAAGACGTCATGAAACCCTCCATGATGAACGACGTGCTCATGTGATTTTGTAGCTATTCCTAACGCAATGTGCACAAACAAAGGCATGGGGCATCCGCCAAAATTTACTCATTCAGATATGACTCGTGCCAAGTATTCGACTCCACTCGTTTCAGATCGGAAGAAACCTGTTCATGTAAAGTCTAGAGGCTTACCACCAGGTCAAGGCAAGCTTCCAAACATACTTGCTGAGGTGAGTAGATTGAAGCAGCTGATCAGAGCAGCACTGCAAGCCGACCAGATGCAAAGCCGAATAGAATCAGAAAGTCGACTGAGGAGAGCTGCTGGATCGAAGGCAGCTGATCGCAACCCACCAACCTCTTCGATGCTGCGCATGATGTGTCATGCACAGGAATGGGATAGTACAAACCTTTTTCTCGATTGAATAGGCTGTAAGGGTGTCCCACCCTGCCGCGAGATCTCCACGAGCGCGGCGCTCTTTTGTTGTTGTCGATGCATCTTTGGCGTTGCCGAAGGGGAGAGCTGGCCAGGATTCGGCCAGCTGATCACCACCCATTGGACCCTTTTTTGCTTGCGCGATGGTGGCAGTGTGCAGCTGCAATGATGTCTCGTGTCTCTAACGTATCGTTTGTATGGAAGTATCTCAACTGATCCGAAATCTCGACTGCCCGGCAGCTCACCTCTTTCCAGCGCACCTCATTCTTAAGCAGTGCTGTAAACTGTCATTCTGCTTTTTGCCACAAACACCGCACACCGCAGCACACCCGACCGACCCAACCCTCCAGGAAAGATGCACGTCCCCTCCTCTCTGGTCCTCTTCATGGCAACCGTCGCCTCCAGTTCAGTCATGGGATACGCTAGTGGCGAGCCTGGCATTTATCCGCCTGTCTCGCCGGAGACGCGCTGCAGCGACGCCAGTATCCCGTGCGGTGATAAGGACTATTCCGCGACCGTGACTTGCCACACGGGTCCGCAGTCGATGTTCGAGTTCAAGAGCTGCTGCGCCAAGCAGTGCCCGGATGCTGCTCTTTTCTGCAGCAACTCGGCCGAAGTTCCATGCGGCGACAACGACGTGAGCGTTTCCAGGTCTTGCCGCAGTGGATCGCTTGACGACTTTCGACAATGCTGCATGAGCAAGTGCCCGTCTGCTGGCAAACAACCCGACCGTTACTGCAGCGCGATCAATGTTCCGTGTGACGGACTTGACCACGACGCGTCCTCGTTTTGCAGCTGGCAGAAAGATCCTAGTGTCGAGTTCAAGGACTGCTGCTTGAGCCGTTGCGCGAGCGCCAGGGTTCCGCCTGGCTACAAATGCAGCGACTCCGGTGTTCACTGTGACGAGCTCAACGTCAAGGCCTCTCAAACTTGCGGCAACTATGAAACTCGCGTTGGCCAATTTCGAGACTGCTGCTATCGCGAGTGCCGGTCTCAAAATCAGTACTGAACTTCTCAGTCCTGATGATGCGGGCACGAGAGCATGTTGACTGGCTCTGTAGGAAATGCGTGTTCGCCTGTTAGTCAGTTGTTGGGGGAATCGGGAGCAGTTGACGATAACCGAGTATGAATTTAACTGTTGAGCACTTGTTGATATTCATGCTTGTGTTTTATTGCGATGCGCTGTGTGTTCATTGTTTGTTACGGTCGTGGTCGCCGTGCGAAAGCCACTGCGAGTGAACGCACGTCAAAAATAGAAACTATCACTACGCGGTTCATGAATTTCGCAAACTGCTGTGCTTCAAAACCCCATTTTATCAGCCACTGGAAAAAGTGACGCGTGACTTGTCTCGAACAATGCGTCGCCACGCCGCCGTTAGCACTCAATCAGATCATAGAATGGTCCAGTTCTTAGTCTTTCGATGCTACTCATGCCCCCCGATCATCATACTTTGCAAAGCCCAGAACGACAGGACTCCCTGTTACAACTGGCCGCATCACTCAGCTGAAATCATCCAGCTAAGTCATCGCAATTAATCCATCATGTCACCCACATTGAAGTGCCAAGAATTCAAACAACAATGAAGATCTTGACTGCCCAGCTCTGTATCGTCCAAGTCTGCGTTCTTCACCAACGAGACACTTCCTTCCTCCCACCCTCCCACCCCACCACAATATGGCACTGCTTCTCCATTGTGCTACACCGCTAGATTGTTAATATATGTGGGACCCTGCACGATCGTTCTCCCCGCGAGGCAGCCCAATCTTCTCCTTGTTTTATTCCCTCGAGACGACGCCGTCCGTCACGACACACTGTTCCCCGTGTGACTCTGGTTCTCCACTCTGCCCGTCACGCTTTTCTCTTCGTCGCGGTCTTTGCCGCCCTCAAAAGACGTGACAGTCGTCGTCGTGCTCGACTCAGAGCTCGCTTTCAAGTCGAGCTTCTCCACAGCAGTAGCTCGCACGAAGCGGTTACCAGCGATCGAGTCCCACGTCTCTTTCCACTTTTTACACGACTCTTTCAGGTGCGCATCGACGTATTTCTGCACCTCGACGCCAAAGTTGTTGCCGTCTTCGGCCTCGGGCACTTGCAGCTGGATCGAGAGCCACAGCAGCTAAAGCGCGCTCAAGAGCTGCGCGATCTCGCCGTCTGCAACTTTCATCATCGCCTACGATAGAAACGCGGCCAACACGGCCTGTACAACACTTGCTTCGCTTTTTCGTCCAGCCAAGTACTCGGGGAGTGTGCACACGGATCGCAATGCGCTCGAGGCAGATGAAGTCTACAATGTGATACCGAAGCCCCGGTCAGTATTGATGACTATCTGCTGTATGTACGCAAGGGTGGACAGCGCAGGCCACGTTTGAGGGCGACGGCATGTATTGCATGGTCGACTACACTCAATCGCAATATCCAGTTCTCAGCCGAGTCGTACGGACGATCCGCTCTCCTTCTACTGCATCGACGGGGATTGATACATCGAGAACGTCCCTTTTTGAATCAGACCCCGGATTGTTCTTCTACCTCTGCTACCTGCCCATTGTAGACGTGTGACAAGTTTCTGTGGGACTAGCGCACCAGCGAATATGACTCCGGATATTGTATTTCGAATGCGCTCCTGGTTTTATTCGCTATCGTTTGCGTTCTTTTCGGTCTCACTTCGATAGAAGGAGTCTGAGGCACGGCTTTGTTGCGTTCAGCTGTAGCCTCGATGATCGGTCATGTGTATGACCAGCTGACCGCAGGTCCTCACATTCTTGGATCATCTTGCCAGCATCGAGTGATTGTCCTGAAAAGTTAAGGTAAAGAGTGGTGACTCGTTTTTGTGCTGTTTCATTGGAATCCTTGGACTAGGGATGTTTGGTAAAAAGTTCCGTGACTTTTGATCAGATGTGAATGCAATTTGATCTGGTTTTATGTTTATACAGATTCTACCCCTTTATCTAGTATTTCATTCTTTTACTTGCCATTGTCGTTTCAGCCAGTTTTTTTGCAGCTTTAGTATTCATCATCATTGCTCCACAAAGCAGGTTCTCTCTGTGTAGTGGCTCGGCCGGGTTAAAAATCTTGTGGAAAGTAGCGAATGCTCCGGGCACGATGCGCCACTGTTCATAGTAATCTCATGGGGTTTGGTGTGGTGTAGTAGTTTGTTAAATCTGTAGCAATGCAGCCTTAGACGTGTGAGAATAACAATCGCCAAGTTGGTCGACAAAATGGGCTTGTATGTTGAGTTACAACCCCTTCGCGAATTGCGGCTTTTGCCTAGCAGATTTCTTGCAACCGATTCGTCCGGAAGACTGCCTGAGCTCAGCGAAACCTCTCACCGCTGTGACACACACCAATGGGTGAATATCGGCATTGTCGCGCGTTTACAGGTCTCCGGGTGTGATAGATGCCTGACTAGAACACTTACGGTGTCCTAGGTAAAAACACACCGGCTAGTCGCTCGACTAGTCCTAAAGCAGTGCTATCTATTGGGTCACTGACCCATCGCTCGACGAGACTCAAAACGGTCAATCTATTAGATCACTGGCTTGTTGCCTGACGACACTCAGAACGGTGCCATATATTGAGGTTCCGCGTCACCGTGCAACGAGACCCAAAACGATGCCACATATTGAGCTACTGGCTTCCCGTGCGACAAGACTGATCTTTCGCTGGAAGTGAGAGATGCCCACCGCGGGCAAACTTAAGTTCTTGTATCTTCTAGTCAAAACCTCTGCATGCTATGCCTCTCGAGGTCCGACGGCAGGCATAATTCAACCCACGCAGGGACTCATCTAAAGAATGTACGCACTACCAGGATGCTGGAGATTCTGCTCTGTATTAAGTTATCTATTTTCTGCTAGAGGGAGCCTACTGGGTAGCTCCCATTATCCAAATTCTCCCATGCAATGATCTAGTTCCTCGAAGGGTCGACTTTCCAACTGCTTCGCTTACTTTAAACTCGGCGAGTCTGAACTTGACGAGGCATGTATCGACGAGTCTTATCTCGAGATTCTTTTACCTACGATTCTCATCCAGACGAGTCCTTTCTCAGCGACTCTCATCTCAAAGATCTTGATATCAACGATTCTTAACTCGACGGGTATCAGCTCAACGAGCTCTGACTTTCGTGATTGCCAATAAAAGGGATATATAGTAACAAAAACTACTCCACACTGGCTTCAAATTTTTTTACCAGGAGCTCGACAGCATCTTGTAACCTTGCAACAATATGATTTGAGTACTTGCGAACAATGATATACAAAACGATTCAAGGCGGTACTTGAGCTTGTCAGCAACCGCGATCCGGGTGCAACAGCTAAAGCAATTATATCTAGCTTTTAAACATTTAATTTGGTCAAAATTATGCTTTTTCTAACTCTTGCTTTGTCATGTTCTACAAGAAGTCAGAAGACATCGTGATGTATGGTAATTTCTTGAGACTTGTAGTGCTCTGAGAGGTATCATTTATGTCAAGTTTGCTAGGAAGAGGATTGGCAGTATGATGTAAGCCTGGAGGGCCGTACGACGACCTGAATGCTCTCAAGGCCCCAAAACTACCCACCGGAAATGTGAAAAGGATGTATCCATTTACAATTACAAACGTGAGCATGGTCTAAAATGTTTTGAAATCTCTAGAGCAAGAGAGGAAGAGTCTGTAAAGAGGGAATAATGTAATCGTGGCACGTTGGCGTGATGACTTAAAAGGGCTTGCGGAACGAATTTACACCTGGAGACCCCATTATTCGTTTCACGTCGACATTAAAGTCCTCTCTTGTTCCCTGCCGGTTGTTGATGAGGACCTCAGACTTAACGTTCACCTCACAGGGTGGTGATCCTGTGCACGACTTTTTAATGCTGTTGGAATAGAGATCTTATATAATTCGCACTATAATGCAAAATACCTGTGCAATGTGAACCCCGTGCAATCGACTGTGGTTGCAAAAGTAGTGAAAAACGGTTGCATTTGACCTTGTATTTTCTCTTAGCCATCTCATCATTTCTCAAAATGTGTCCATTATAGAAATATGAGGGCGTCCGAAGGTAAGCGTGGCAAATCTGCAGACTCGCAAAAACCTTGTTCCAACTTATTAGCATTGCGGATAAGGTATCTATAGATTAGTTGAAGGGAGCCGTGAGCCTTTAGAATTATTTACGCTGATAAAAATACGTAGCCACAGTACAACCAGGTTCAAGTCTCCATTAGAATTTGTATTCGATGGCATTAAGTAGGCGAACGGCAGTGGGAGTGGTTGCAGCACATACCTCCCTCTTAAATCTTTGACAAAATACTTTGCTGCTGATAGATCATTTATAAATAAATATGCTGAAGACGAAATCCTGTTTTAAGGATTCAAGCGATATCAATTAGTAAAATGTTATCAACACGGACTTTTTACCTAACCATCATACCATGCATCGATGTTGCAGACGTGACATGGACCGGCTAGCCCGTTCATAATATCTGCCTAAGTAAATACCACGAGAACATGATGTAAACACGTATAACTGTAAATGCCATTTTTCAATTGATGGTCATGTGAGATAACAGTTCTCTTATCATAGACTGATAAAGGCCATAATTTCAACTCTAAATGCTGGACCACGACCGACGCACGCAATGAGTGGTGAGCAAAGAACTACAATATATGTCTGTGTTTAGGCATAGTTGAAAAAACAGTATTTACTGACAGAAGGATAACTATGATGAAAACAGTTTTGCTTCTTACATTTAAGAGGTACTTATTCCTTTAATAAAAGCCTTACTCTGCAGCTACATTTTCGAAAAATCATAACGGGCATAATCGTGCTATCTGTTTCAATTTAAGTAGCTGTACTGCTTCAGTAAACGCATTTGTTGTCCCTTAACAACCGGCCGCGCTTAGCAGTCCGTCTAGCGGCCATGGCCGTACTATTAATGTGTCCATGAAAATGATCAAAACGATAGAGTTCACCCCCTTCATGAATATTATCTTATTTCAGCAAAATGAAATAGTTTGTCTCGAATATATAGGTCCAACAAATGGTAAAGAAGCTGTAAGCGCCTTTCCGTCCGCCATCGCCAAGCTAATCCAGAATAAAGTTGCCCCAAAATTGGAGATGATTGTCTTGATAAAGCAGAAAACTTCCCTACACATAAATTGTTGAGACAACGACAGGCACGATCCGCTATTTTCGAGACATCCCACGCGCGTCGACTCGAAAGTTTGATGATCGACGTTGAGGTAGAGTTATGATCGCTTACTTCTTGAAGTGATCATTATTCCGCATTAGCGTCCAGACAATCGAGTGCCGGATTGGGTAATCTGTCAAGGATTGCAAACTTTTCAAACATTATGTACCCGTAAGAAGGTCGGGTTGCACTTTTGTTTGGCGGACTCGTGCCAAGAGGAAAAGTGACAATGTTGATATGGGGTTGGGATATCGTGCAGAAACCTTTTGCACACTGACGATATAATGGTTGAGTGCTCGGTATGAGTCACCCATTCTCATCCATATTGCCTTATACAACATGTAGATGCTTGATTCGCACAGCCTACATATTACTTGAGCCTTCACGAGATCTTGCGCTTTCTCATTCACGTTATAGCTGCGTCCGCTAAAACTTTTGGGGTTAAGATTGAAAATTTATGCGCAAATGTCTAGACAATCTGGAACCAAAGTTGAAAAAAGAAGGCGCTTCTTTTTCGATGCAGGGTGGCAAATAACTAATTCCGGAAGAAAGACTTATAACCGTAATAGTAAATACAGAGTCCTTAAATACTAATCAAATACTGACGCTGTGACCACGCTTCGTTTGTATGCTGGGACACGCGTCATGTTGCGAGACCTGTATCTTACCTCTTCACGGCGCAATGCACGGTCTAGGCCATAAATGCACAAATTTATCCATCCCTTTGTCAGGGTGGCTTAGATCGTGGCTGACCGCGATTCTAAGCGTAGTCTTCCACAGCGAGTTTAGCCATCTTCTCGTTAAACATTACTTCATTGTATCATTTCCGAGAAAAAGCAGAGTAGAACAGAAGTTTACCCCGTTTTATCACCAAACAATTCCGAAAAAAGGTGATGAAAAATGCAACCTTCCAACTCCAGAACTTATTAATCAAATCACGTTTAATCGGGGAATGCGATCGGCATCTAAATACACTTTGATCTGATACCCCACAACAACTACAAGGGATAAAAAATGGAAGAACACTTCCTGTTAAGATGGTATTATAAACTAAACGGCCTTGTAAGGCCATACGCATTGTGAGCGAAAAAATGCAAGTTGCATTCGCCAATTAAAATTTGCTGGATGTTGAGAAGTGAACTTAGGGCTCAAGCTTCATGTTCCATATGCATTTAGTCGTCAAAGGTCATTAATACTTTTATAAGACGAACGTTTAAGCTTTCAGGGCTT